ACCTGTCAGCCTCACCTCTGTGCCTGGGAAGACCATGGAACAGATCCTCCCAGAAGCTATGCTAAGGCACATGGAGGACAGGGAGGTGATTCGAGACAGCCAGCAGGGCTTCACCAAGGGCAAGTCCTGCCTGACCAACCTAGTGGCCTTCTATGATGGAGTGACTACATCAGTGGACAAGGGAAGAGCTACAGATGTCTGTCTGGACTTCTGTAAGGCCTTTGACACAGTCCCTCACAACATCCTTCTCTCTAAATTGGAGAGATGTGGATTTGATGGGTAGACTGTTCAGGGAATGAGGAATTGCTTGGATGCTTGCATCCAGAGGGTAGTGGTCAACAGCTCAATGTCCAGATGGAGACTGGTGACAAGTGGTGTCCCTTAGGGGTCCATACTGCGACCAGTACTGTTTAATACCTTCATCAATGACATAGTGGGATCAAGTGCACCCTCAGCAAGCTGGCAGATGACACCAAGCTGAGTGGTGCAGTTGACATGCCTGAGGGATGGGATGCCATCCAGAGGGACCTGGACAAGCTTGAGAAGTGGGCCTGTGTGAACCTCATGAGGTTCAACAAGGACAGGTGCAAGGTCCTGCACCTGGGTCTGGGCAATCCCCGGTATCAGTACAGGCTGGGGGAAGAAGGGATTGAGAGCAGCCCTGCTGAGAAGGACTTGGGGATACTGACAGATGAAAAGCTGGACATGAGCCGGCAATGTGCTCTCGCAGCCCAGAAAGCCAACCGTATCCTGGGCTGCATCAAAAGAAGCCTGGGCAGCAGGTCGAGGGAGGGGATTCTGCCCCTCTGCTCTGCTCTGGTGAGACCCCACCTGCAGTACTGCATCCAGCTCTGGGGTCCTCAACACAGGAAAGACATGGATCTGTTGGAGCGGGTCCAGAGGAGGTCCATGAAGATGATCAGAGGGCCGGAGCACCTCACCCATGAAGAAAGGCTGAGAGGGCTGGCATTGTTAAACGTCCCTTCCAACCCAAACTATTCTATGATTCTAAGTTTGAGTTATGGAGAGCATATTCACTGTTGTCCCCAATTTCCAGGTGTTCCTCCTGTAGGTAGTGGCAGTACTCTCATATGCTGTCTTGCCTTGGCGTGAGGAGAGATGGACACGTTGAATGGGGAAGCTCTCTGTGTGTCCCTTTACATCTTCCAAATCAAGCAAAATCCCTGCCCTGAAAAACTCTTATTTTTAATAGCTTCGTACTGAGCTCAAAGCGTGGGGACTGATGTCAAAAAACATGAAGTCCTCTGTGTCGGAGCTGTCCTTGGAGACTGTTACAGTTTGCCACTTGTCTCTTCAGGTGGGCATCTCTTGGAAAAAGAGATCTCTGCAGTTGTTTCTAAGCCTGAAACTCAGGATGGGAATAACCAAAGGTTGACCAGGTTGTGAACTTTGTGAAGGATTCATGTGATATTTGGGGGAGGTGGAAGGTCTCTGAAAGATCCAGCAAAAGTTTGTCCAGCAGAGGAGTGGTGGGGTGGTCACACTTTCGTAGCAAAGGACAGGAGTACGCTCAGCCATGAGGAAGAAACATTTCAGAGGAGAGAGAGAAGCTGCATACTGAAGCTGGTACCACAGGAAAAAGAGGTGGTGAGATTGCTGAGGAAATTTAGGCAGAAGAAAGTATATTGGTAGCTAGTTGTTCTGTCTAGTTCTGCATTTTGTGTGCTGGCTAAATAGTGGCTGGTTGGGGGGGCTCTGAGTAAAGCCTGTTTACTTCTACTCTCTTGTATCCCTAAAAGCTGGGGGCTTGGGGAAGAGCAGGGTGTAGATTACAGTCAGACATAGTCAGTGAGAGTACAACCGGTGGGATATGGTACCATTTCCACGGCAGCCTATGAAAGGCATCACAAAGAAAACCACTGGATTGGAGAAGGTTGGGAGTGCTGGACACTGGGCCAAGCAGGGAGGACAGGCAAGGGACCAGGTGGGATGGTGTGGCACATCGGTGGCTGTCAGGTGGACAGAGCAGAGTCAGCACTGCCCTCGGATGTCTTTGTGCCAACTCTGCTGACTCCATCCAGCTGCTGCACAGATGTGCTTGTGCACTGGGAGGGCGGAGGAAAGAGGAGTGTGGTTGATGCTTCCAGAGTACACAGTCAAACCATAACATTGCTAGGCAAGGAAAATTATCTGAGATGGAAATAACTGTGTGTGATAAACACTGCGTTCTGGTTTCTGAAGCAGAGTGGTGTTGCTGCTCATTTCTGTCCTTTGTCATCAGCACTGGGAGAGTCCTTGTTTAGGGTCATCTGTACAGGGATCTAAAGGGAGCTCTGTGCCGTGGCAACACCAAATGTGGGCCCATGTGAAAACGGGGGCACTTTCATGTGAAAAAGGTGAGTTTCAGCTTGGAAGCAACAAGCAAGACCTTGCAGATCCTTCCAGTCTGAAGCATGGAAGCTACTGGCAGCAACTGTAAGTGCTGACAAAAGTGGTCAGGTTTTACATGATGAGGCCAATAAAATGCTGAGATTTCTCCCATCCCCCTGGAATGGCAAAGATTCAAGCTGTGGTACAGTGGAGATGGACTCCTAGGTCTGTATAGCTTGGGTATAGCATGCAGCTGGGGGCACGGTAGGCCCCCGTGAAACCTCACCAGATGGAGAGGGAGAGGAAAGCACTCACTAGGCACAGTGAGTCACGGTGATCAGGTTAAAGAGGGTATCTTTCTCCTTGTCATTATTGCCTACAGGGTACTGTGAAGAAACTCATGTTGTGATCATATGTGAGGATCCCTTTAGGGGCTTCCAACACCCTGCATCTCCTGCTTCCTCATCCTACCTAAGTAGGAGGCTTTTTAGCTACCTTCCCAGTCACTTTTTTCTGCTTGCAGCTCCCAACTTTAAAGGAATTAAAAATCTATGTGTACACCTGGAGCTGTCCGTGCATCCTCCAGGCCGAGAAGCCTTTATGTTATCCATGGATCAGTTAAGCTGTGTTACTCAGTTTGATTCAACATTTCCTGTAATGATCTCCCCTATGGATGCCTGGTAACAGTAGGAGGGATTTTGCGTGGACACTGAGATCCTGGCACTGCCAATATTAGATTCAGTGGAGTATTTGTTTTTTTCTTGCTTAAGTCCCTGTGGCTAAGAGGGAAGGATGGTACGTCAAAGATGAGACTTGGAAACAAGGTATGTGGGTTGTGTGGGACCCAGAGCCGAGTCTCTGAAAGCCCAGACCCAAGAGCACTGAGCTGGGGCAGGAACTCCCCTTGATCTCTTTGGGCTTTGAAGCAGATGTCTGAGGGTGAGATCTGCAGATAGCTCAGCTGCACGCTCAACTCTTGTTGACGTCTGTACAGCAGAAGCAGATGTTGAACCTTTCTGCTGAAGTGGGGCTTTGAACTTTGTGTGCTTGTTTCCCTGTATTGTAACAGTGGAAAAATACCTGTTTTTTGCCAACAGATATCAGCCAGGTATCAGATATCCCATCATCTGGGAAAGCTTGCCAGAATATTTTGGTTATTTGGTTATTAGCATGGTGCTAAATAAAATTTGTGATTACATGCCTCACTGAAAATAGGAAGTAACTCAAATCCAATCCATGCAACTGGCTAGGAATACGTCAAAATGAAACAATAATTTTTATATTCATCATGCAAAAACCCAAGGTGTTACATGGCAGGTTGGTTTGATAATGGAACAAAACATGATAAAGCCTTTATTTTGTTTCTGAATGCTGACATATTATTTTCCAGTACCTGCAGGGAATAACTAGCAATTGAAGTAAAGTTCAGCTAACTTTCCTTTGTTCTTTCTTTGGAGCTTGTACTTATTATTCTTTGCCATTTCAGTCACACTGGTATTACGATGAAAATGCAGAGAAAGCGATGCCCTGCGTTCTTGAGCACAGAAGTAACTCTGTTTCGCACTGTGTGTTGGCAGTGTTCGTACATCCCTCCCTGCGCAAGAGACGATCAGGAGAACTCTGAGAACGTCACGTACAAGCAGAAATACTGGAAAGAGAAAGTGGGTTCGCAACCATTTACATGCTATTTTAACCAGCACTTGAGGTGAGTAATCTACATTTGCATAGGCAGAAGTGCTTATGCATCTGTTTAACAGCTGTCCATTGGTTCTCTTTGAAAATATAAATGCATGCATATGTATACACCCCCCCCCCATAGTGATGTGGTTTAGAACACAGAGTTTAGTGCAGAACTTTGCAAGACAACTCTATTGATGAAAAGCTACATAGAAAGTGGAAAAACTTTTTTACCATTTGAAGTAAAAATATAAAACTCCGAGGAAAGTTTCCCTTAAAACATGTCATTTTATGGCAAAAAGCATTTCGGCTTTTAACACTCAGATGGCAAATTTCTGGCTTGGATGTTAATGTTCCTTCTCCTCTGTGGAAGAGAAATCCTCCTGTGTTCATGAGGGGCTGGAGATCAGTAAATAGTACAAACGAACTCAGGAATAGAGTTCATATAGTTCATATAGAGTTCATATAGTTCATAAAGGATTAATGAATCAGATATGTGTAGTAAACGTTCACAGAACTGCCAGTTTTCATATATGCTTGCAGAGTAGAAAGTTGTAACTTAAAGCATCTCCTCTTCTGTTTCAATTCTTACTTTTACTACTGATGTTGATGTGACTTACATGTGTATAAGGGTGATGTGTGGTTTCTTTCCTTCAGTAAATGGGAAGAGGAGGGAGTCCTTTTGTCTGTCTCTTTCTGATGATGATGATGTGCTGGGAAATAAAAGGTGATGTGGTGGTAGCAACTTACTGTTACCGCAGTGTGCAGGCTTGCTGGGAGGAGTTGGGAGAACAGCAATGGCTGGGATGATAGGCCCATGTAGACAGGGAGGGGGAAAGAGATTATTTAAGATCTCCAAATCAGCCAAGGTTTTATGGTGGTTAGACTCCAATTCTGGAGGCATATACGCTTAGTTTGATCAGCATGAGTAATTTTGGTAGAGCTGGGAGACTGTTCTTGGTTGCTAAGTTAAACACTCAAATATCTGCCACATCAGGGACTAAAGGAGCAGGTTGGTCCTACCCCACCAGCACTTGGAAGTTAAACAGATGAGGGAGACCTAGGTGGGAATAGCTCAGTGCTTGCTGGTGCAATTCAGGGCTCAGTGTGGGAGTGTTGGCATCAGATATTTAAGTTTATTAAGACACACAGGAGGAATATGGATGCCAGTGTGTGCTAGGACCTTGGAGAAACCGGGAAGCTGGAGCAGGGTGGCAGGCACAGAGATACCCGACTCTCCTGTGGGTGGCCCGCTGAGTGCCTTGGGGGCTTCAGGTTTGTCCCATGCTGGCTCTGATTGTTGTTCCCTCCCTGGAGAGACCTTAGACCTAGTCGATGTGCCTAGGATAACAGTCTGTTGTCCCCAGTTAACTCTTTGCAGGTGGAAACCACCAATGCTTTGTAGCAAAACCTAGTTGTTTCTCGTAGTGGGGAAAGAAGCACTGTCTACAGCATGCAGAGGTTAAAACTTAGGGCAGCCTGTGCAGTGGCATCAGACCTGGCAGGGACCTTCTTGGGAGCTGCTTTAGTCCACAAGGTGCCAATGCTTGGGTCTGCTAACCAGGAGCTGAGTGATGATTTTGGCTTCTCTGGGCTGGCAGGTGCTGCCAGTTCCCCGTGCTGCTGAGACCTGGGACCTGCAGCAGCCGCTGCCTGAGTGAGCAGGACAGTCAGAAACATGGGATCTTCTGCAGGAGATGTCATGGCTAGGATTCATCTGAGCTGGTGTGGACAAGATGCTGTGAAAGTTAGCTTTTATAGTCAGTGGGGAGAAATAGAAGCCTTTCATCTTACCCAAAAATAAATGCCTAATATAGGCTGGATGACCAGAGATGTTTATTTGTCTCCTGTAAAGGAGCTTAGGGTGATCTGCTTGGGTGCAGGCACCTAGGTGGTAGGTGTCCAGAGCCTAGATGGGCTGGTTCTCACATCACATCTGTAGGTGAAGCAAAAGCAAAATTTTTCTGAGGCTGCATACTGCTTCGGGTCTGCCATTTATGTAGGTTGACACTGAGGAATTATGCAGCACTCAGGCAAGGATTTTTCCATATAGTTGCTGCATCCTATACAGTTAAATGTTCTTGCCAAATGCCACGGCTGCCTTGAAACGCTGACTTTTGCTGATCATACAACAATTTATATACAGCAGGAGAGGCTTGCTGCCAGAGATACTTGAAGATAGTCTAAGCTGAAATGTGTAGACCATCTATTTTCTTCTGGAGATAGGAATGAGCTTTGAGAGATAAGTTTTGCTGACTAGGAATGTGCTTGCTTAGGTATACTTTTAGAGCTATGATGACTAAACAGCTTGTGAAGAAGTAAAAAAACATACAAATTGAGGGAAAAATCTGTTCACTTCAAAACAGAAGTGTGCATATTTTCTGTCAGTATTTTTTTAACTGTGTGGATGAGCTAAGTCTTCTGTGTCAGTCTATATAAACCATATAGAATATAGGGGTAGGTTCCTTAGAGAATTTGCAATATTAATACTCTCTCTTTTGAAACAGCAGAATAAAATTCTAGGCAAATATCATCTAAAATGATAATCTAAAAAGCATTGTCTCCTCTTCATCAAACTTAATTTAGCATCATCCTCAGAATAGGTAACCCCTCCCTTCAGTTTGGTGGGGCACATTTCAACAGGCTGCTTTGAAAAGAAGAAGAAAGTGATGCCATTTGTACAGTTCAAAGTTATACAAAAGGGGTGAGAAGCATATTAGGCAATTTCAATCATTCTCGGTTAATATACGTAGAGAGTCCCAGCACAACTAGCTGTCTGACTTTTATCTTAGGGAACCAAAGCGTAGCTTAGCTTAGAGCTCAGCTCTTTACTGAAAAGCGAGGTTTTGCTTTGCCTCTGTAGGCACTTACCTTTAGTGTCCCACTCTTCTCCGGCTAGCTTTGGGCCAAGTGCTGCAAGCTGCATAGGAAAGTTGTTTTTCCGGCCCTCTGGTGGAGGTGCCTGTCTGTTGGCGTGGTGATACTCCGGTCTAAAGGGAGCCCTGCCCAGCAGAAACCAACCCCCAGTGTTTCAGAGCACAAAATAAATGACAAATTCAGATAAAGTTCTCAGGCTGTTGCCAAAGGTTTGAGAAGGCACTGAGCTCCAGTGCTTTAGTATTCATGGATCTCACACTGAGCGTCCCAGGGGTTCTGTAGTCATGACCACGTGCAAACAAGGGTCACAGCTGCATGCCCTGCAGTGGGAGGCCTGTGGGAATGGGCAGGATGGGGGAGATCCTGTCGCTTTATTTCTTCATGATCCAGGTCTCATTGACATCAACAGCAAGAACAAAAAGAGAGAAACCAAGGTCTCCATCAGCTCAGACCCCTCAGTCTCATGCCATGCAGAGACAGACAGAGCGACATGTGTCAAGTCATTTCTTATTAGTGGCTCATTTACGGCATTATTGCTTTTTAGCTCTGGATTCATCCAGTACGGCAAGAACACTCTGTGGTTCCTTTGCTGCAGCACAGCAGATGAGCCAGCCACGCTTTATACTTCTCTGTATTTGCTGCAGGATGCTGTACACAAATTCACCTGAGATTTGAAGAGCGAACACTGTCTAGTCATTAGGTACCACATGTATGGTGCTGGGGTACCCTGCAGGCCATTTGTCTGGGAATAATTACCTGCAGAAGCCAAGGGTGCTCAGGTAGTAGGGCTGCTCATTCATAAATGGTGGAACAGAAATCTCGGTTTGCTTTGGTACGTCACAAAGTTTTCTGAATTAATTCCCTCCAGTCAGAAGATGATGTTGCTATTTCCTATCCTTTCGTTTACTGTATCACCTGTGGAGCAGTGCTCAGGCCTGGAGGGAAAGGACTTTACTGTTGGTAAAACATAGCACTGCCGCTGCATGCAGCCATCCAGCTGAGGAGCTCTGCGCCTTGCAACAATGGGGGAAAAACACTGATGAGTGCTAACCATAGTGAAGGGATATGAATCAGTGTGGGCAAAGTAAGTGTATGCGGATTGCAAACATCTTTAAATCCAGATTGTTTGAATACAAAAAATATTTGTAAGATTTCCCTATCCCATGCCCCTGCCTCTGTCAGCTTTTGCTGTGTCACAGAAATTGCAAGGTGTGGTGCATAAGTGACGACTGAAATGTTTACGTGCCTGTAACTTTTTTGGTTGTACATGACTCCTTGGTAACCCCTGCACTGCAATTCTTCCCATGATGTTCAGTAATTGCTCCGAAGGCTCTGATGGAGGCCTGCTTTATCCCATGTCTGTTATGAACTACTTGGCAGCGCCTAACAGGGATGTGTTGCATAATGCAACAACTAATCCAGTTACCCCTGGTCAGAGCCCCACGAGGCTCTGGCCCTGAGCTCAAAGTCCTGCTAAAAATAAGTACTGCTCTCACCTTCTAGCAATGAAAAGAGAATTCCTCCCTCCTTGTCTGCTCAGTGAAAGGGATAGGTGTGTTTCCAGAGTTAAGGTAGAGACTTCTTTAGGGCTTTTTTTTAGTTTGTTCATTCTTCTTTCACCCTGGGGCTGCTGCTGGGCAGTGGTGGTGGTGCTGCACGGTGGCCGTCACTGTTCACAGCAGAACCAGGTCCCCATGACCGAGCAAGTCTTGAAAGTATTAATTTTTTTTTCCCCCTTTTGTCCTACTAGGTCTCTCTCTTGCCCCTGCCACTGTTTTGTGCACTGATAACTGGTGTTAGGATGCATCCCCTTGAGAGGCTTTGCATTTACTGGAGAACTGAATGGCAGCATTGCTAGAAACAAGAGATGGTCCATAACCAAGCTTAGGGGGAATATGTGCAACCCTTTTGGTCAACATCTTTGAACTGGAGTATTATATGGAAGTCACAGAGCAAAGATGGCTTTATACTATACTTGCAGGGACAAGGCAATATCTTTAATTATATCAGCTGATTTTCAGAGGGAATAGAAACATGTTTCCAGGCATGACATACCTCCTTTGGGTTAGGCATTGCTGCCTCAGCACCAGGGGAGTGATGCTGTGGGGCCATCCAGCAAAGATGCGTCCTTGTCATGAGAGGGTTTCCCCCAGGGATGGTAGCACCTTCCCTTTTCTGTTTCCAAGCCAAACAACAAGCCTTCAAACTCTGGGAGCAGGCAGGTCACCTCTACAAAAGCAGCAAGAAAAAGTCAAAACTGCAGTTTCAATACATGCTGACTTTGCCATGCAAAACCAAAACAGTTATGTTACTGTGTTTCAGGTGTCCTGATAGCTATTTATTTTTCTTCCCAAGGAAAGGGGTTGTTTGCTGTGGAAGTACAGCCCTCTCCCTTCTCTTCTTTCCCTGCTTGCCTGTTAAATACATCTTTCTCCCTTCCCCCTACCACCACCCCCTTGTTTTCTCTGCCCAGCCCTGCTAGCCTCCTCTGCTGCTTCCCCCGATCCCATGGCAGCTCTGTGGATCCTTTCCAGGCTCCTGCTCTCCTTGCTTCTGCTAGTGATAAGACTTATTGTTTTAGAGGTGGAATCCAGAGATTTCAGCTAAAATCTTCTGCTCCTTTGGCCTGTATCTAGCGTTCTCGGGTGGCTGCAGTATTTTCCTGCTGCTGTGGGCTTCTGTTTCATGAGCAGGTGATAACCACCCAAAGGCTCCTTCTCCTGAAGGCCTTATAGGGTGTCTGGTTTCTGAACTTCTGGTCTTCTCCATCGTGGTGCAGCACAGTCCTGGGGGTCTGCCCCTGCCAGCATAGCCTGGCTCTGGCTCCTCTTGTCTCACAGCGCAGCCATCGCAATTATCTCAGGGCTCAGAAGTAACCATGACGGGCCACATAAACCTCACGGCTCACTGCCAGCAACTTTGCTCTCTTGGTGACACTTTCTGTCCGTGCTTGGCAAGACAAGTATCTCTTTGTGCATATTTCTGATTCAAAAACATGTGAGGCAGCTCTCTTGTATTAACCACTGTGTAAGCCTTGGAGTGAAAGCCAAAGGTTTTTGTACCAGGACAGCAGGACAGATCCAGCTCTTGCTGATCCCCGAGAGGGGCTGGTGCAGCGCCCCGGTAACAAGCTCAGCCCCGAGCAGGATGCTGCAGCGAGCCGTCCAGCAGCGTGGCTGCGGCCCGCGGGCCAAGCAGGGCTTCTGCAGCCCGGGCTGCTGCTCTGGGTACATTCTTTAAGCAGATTTTGTTCCTTATCCCTCAGGGTTCATTGCAGGATCGCTTAGGAGTTGTCCTGGGGATGTCCCCAAACACTCTGCAGACTCAGATATCAGAGGACAGCTGACTTGCGCACCTAGCCGGTTCCTTCGGGGGCTCGCCGGGCAGAGGTGGCCATTCTGCTCTGCCTGGGAATGCATTTCTTCGGGAGGTGGAGGATAGCTCTTCCCCTGAACTGATGCCGTCACATGAGGATAACAAACAGCCTGGAAGAAGTGAAATCCAGCCTCTGTAGGCTAACCTCTTAATTAATCACTAATGACTTTGCTATATTTAATTCATCTGAATAATTCCAATTCTAACTCCCTCTATCTCCTCCTAATTTTTCTCCAGTCTTTTGTTTTGGACCTTACAGATCTCACATGAAATACCTATGGTTTTTAGCCTGGCACGGATCACCTGAAAACAAACACAAACATGTTTATTCTTCAGCTTTTTAGCCAGACGGCCTGTTAGGCCCTCACTCATACTCCCCTAAGTTTCCATGGGCTGTTACAGGCAGATAACCAGGACATTGCCATCCAGGAGCGTGTGGTTTATCTGCTGGCAGCGCTGCCTCCCTTTATTGGCTTTTCTCGTTCACTCCTGGGGTCCAGCAGTGCTTATCTGCACTGGAAGGTTAATTTGGGATAAGATAAAGAGCAGCTGAAAGCACAATAGCTCTTCCAGAATAAGCACACAGGTTAAACCAAGTAGGAACAAGGCTGAGATTTGTCCCACCATTTTTTAGCACCAAGAGTCAGTACTGAGAGGCTACATCCCGGAGGGTCCCTGCGCTCTCCCATGCAGAGGTTACCCTCTAGGAGTGCATCTCCCTCCCCTTGACTAAAGAAGGGTGTTTAATATCTTAAATGTGATGCCAATAGTCATTTAATGACATATTTTCGGGGGACCCAGTCATGACTTGATGCATTGTCTGAAGAGACACTGTGAGCAGTTGACCGTGGATTGCTGCACACCTTTTCCCATGCAGGAATTGTACGGGGACTCTTGCTGTAGCTAAGAATAGCAGTAGTATCCATCTGAACCCAAACCTCATCCTGAGGCTTCATTAAAGGCCTCTGTAAGTCTTTGACTCTTTTCCAAAAGGGAAACTCTTTTAAATTACTAAGTTGCAAGAGTTACAGTCGCACCTATAATGAGTGTTTGGCATCCATTGCTGCTATCTTTGGTACAGATGTTTTCCAAAATATCTAAGATTCAGTCAAAAGGATATCTTGCTCTCCCCAACCACACTTTCTTTTCTTTAACTGAATCTAATTTTCTAGTTCATTTGCTTGCCCCTTATTTTTGAACTCTTTGAGTAGTATCTGCTTAAAAAAAATACTTAAAATTCAATGTCACTTGTAAGCTGAGAGCTGCAAGGATTGAATACTGCCTACTTATGGCCTCCTTGCCAATTAGCACTCTGTTATTCACAGATGATCATACAGTAAATATGAGGGAAGCAGTATTATACCTCCTGTGAAAGGATTTTTCTGTTCGGGTGCTGTCATTTATATGGCATAGACTGGTGAGTTTGTGCCCATAAAGTTAATATTATTTTATTCAATTTATGGTCTCCACATGTGCCTGATTATGTGTCTGGAGGATTTCAGTTGAGCAGACTTCACGTGTTCCACTATTGAATACACCTGGGTTTCTTTTGATCATTTTTTATGTTGCCGAGTTTCAACTTTTATATAGCTGAGCTGCTCATAACCAGAGTCTTATTCTGCTCCTTACTACACAAATAAAGAGAGAGGTTTGGTGCTGGCCTCGGGGACTTGCAGGTTGGCATGGTGTAGAGGAACCTCCACATGGTAATTTTGGGGGAGAGACCCCCAAATGCAAACGCGGGTGTGGTGCGATTAAAGTGCTGATCAGGTGTAGCTTGGTGGTCTGGCTCCACTGACTCCTTAAGAATGGATAAAACCCTGTAGATTTGCAGGCATCTCCGTTAATTAACTTCTCAGTGAAGGAAAAAGAGTTTCTTCTTGTTTCCCCTACAGGGAATGTTTTCTTAATGCTGCTTTCTGATCAGGACGAAGCTGTTGGGGGAGAGACAGCACAGTCATTGCACAGGTATCCGTTCCCCTGTGCCACCACATTAGGAGAGATTAATTCCCAGCACCAGGCTGGATGATCCTGCATTGCCAGGATTTTAGGCTGTGAGGTTTGTTGCTCCAAGGAGCGTTGGGTAGCGTTGACAAAGCAACATGGGATGGGAATGTTCAATGTAAGTGAGGACCAATATGAGTCAAGACTCTATATATTTTCCTAATTAGAGAAAGTTCTGTTTTCTTCCTTTGCAGATAGTTTTCCAGCAGACTGTGTGTCTCTGGCTGTAGATGGGAAAGCAGCAGCAAAGTGCAAATGCCACGAGACTGATTTAATAACTCTGTTAAATTTCAGGGAGAGCAGAAAGAGCCAGAGCTGAGGAAAGCCTGCCATCAGATTTCCCAGCCAACTTCCCAGACTTGGAAGAGGCAGATGGACACCTGATCTTTCAGACATGTGGCACAGATGAATTTCCAAGCCTCTTGAGATGCCTCCTCCTTGCTATTCTCCTCCTCCCTCTGTTTCCCTTTGGAAATGCGTAAATCCATCACAGACCCAACCGTGACTGTGTGTTAGATGCTGTTAGTGGAGGCATGGGGGTTCAGATCTTCAGGGGAGGCTCCCCAAAGTGTCCCTGTAGGAGCATACTCAAGTCCACTGAGCAGCTGGTGTTTGCAGTACCGAATTGCAGCTTATGGCTGAAGTAGCCTCGCTGAGAAGGAGCTGACTCGGGAGCCTCCAGCACCCCAGGGCCCAGCAGCAGTCCCCGTGGGGGTAGGTTTTTGCAGACCCCTGCCTGCCAGTGCAGCTGGGCTAGCCTGGGCCATCAGGCTGAGGACAGGGACTGGCTCTCCATCCGGACCCAAACCACAGCCAGGGCTTCATCAAGAGCCTCCATGTAGCCCCATGGACACATCAGGGCTCAAAGCTAAAAGGGAAGCTTTAATTGTACTTTAAACTCATTGCGCAGTGTCCGATGCCATTTGAGGTAGATATGTATAACTGCTGTCTTGGATTATGTTTTCACTGGAGTGGTTTTTCAATCCACAGTGTGATATTGTATCTCTCACGGCTGTTTGTGATGACCACGACCCCTGGAAGACCTAAAGTACCAATGCTATTTTTTTTTTTTTTAAATCTGAATGAACTTGTTAGCCTGTAAGCACTGCAAGTGGAAAGCCCTCGTGGCCTGCCATGAGTGCTGGTGATAGATGGGCAAACGAAAGCAGTGAATGAAATGGTCTACTTAATCATTTTCTAACACTGTTGCAAATAAAACACCTTTATTGTTTCCATGCCAGATGCTTTCCACTTATGATGAATTGATGATGTCGAGTTGGTTTATAGTTTCTCCCCCTTCTGTTCCTCCTCTTCGTAGGCCGGATGATGTGATGCTGAAGCGTACCCATGATGAGACTGTCCTCTTGCACTGCTTCCTCTGGCCTTTGGTTACGTTCCTGGTTGGAGTCCTCATTGTGGTCCTGACCATCTGTGCCAAGAGCTTGGCTGTCAGGGCAGAGGCAATAAAAAAGAAGAAGCATTTGTAAACGGCAAGGCTCCTGATGGAAAAGAAAAACCTGCAAGAAGGTCTCAAGTGGGGCAACTCGACACACCTGCAGGTCTGTGGGGCGCCCAGCTGCGCCTCCTTCCAGTGTCTCATCTGACGGTGGAGTTGCTCTTGCCTCAGGATTATTCTTGGGAGACTGCCCTGTGAAATGTCAGCTAATTGCTTCTTCTGCTATGACAGTAAATACGTATATTCTACCAAAAAAAAAATCTACACTGCACCAAATATGCTGTGCGCTGTTAGTCCCAAACAGCAGCTACCCAGGTCCTACCAGTATTAAGAGACAGTTTATAAAAATCCCTGATGTCTCTCATTTCATCTCCACAAAGTGATCTTTACTATTGTTTAATATTAACTATTTAAAATATTTACTTTATGATAGGCTGTATTTCCAAAATAATAAAGTTTGGTTGTTTGGGGTTTTTTTTTAACCTTTGTTTTGTTGGTTTTTTGGTTTTTTTTTTTTAAAGACAAAAATAACACTGCTGATTTTGGTTTTTTTCACTGTGTAGAACTTAATTTAAATTCAAACATTAACTTCTGTCTAGACGAAATCTTTCATCATCACCTGTTCATTGTGAAGAAATGTAGAAATTTCTCAGAAAGACTTCTCCAAAAAATGAAACAATTGTTGGAAAAGGTGATTAAATACTGGATCTAATTTTATTGCCTCGGTGGTATTCAGTCCCTACCGTTTTTCTTGTCCCCTCTCAGTTACCCTCTTCACCAAAATGCTCTCAGTCTGTAAGGAGCAGGGATTTGGAGTGGTTTTACATGAATACATTTTACCAGCTGTTTCCCCAAATAGTGGAGTGCCTCAGCGCCTGCTGAGGGGGGCCTGCGAGTCGTGGCATCACGCACGTCACCGGGCTCCAGGGGTGGCCAGACAAGGACATCAACTCTTTCTAGGGCCGTGGGTGTTTGCTGCTGAACTGCCCGTCCCATTCACACTGGCCCTGTGCAGACTCCCTCCAAGGGGATGCTCCGGAAAATGCAGACTGGACACGGCATCTCGCCGGGTTGCCTCTCTCTGCTTGTCCCTGCGAATTGCTGTCTATGACGGGAGTACTGGCCCTCGTCCGCTTGCCCAGTGCAGAGATTTCCGGATGTCTGGCAGTTTTCCCGAGCGCATTTGGGACCAGAGTAACTTCATGGCACCCGCCCTCGCCCCCGCAGGGCTGTGCACCCCTGGGACCAGCTGTGTGGCTTTGCAGGGCTGGCACACAGCAGACAAGAAAAGCCACGTGGCTCAGTCAGGAAAGTGAGTCTCAGCATGTGATTACTGGCAAAGCATTTTAATCTACGTTAACAATTCTGCAATTCTATCCATACTGTTCATTGTACTAATCTCTCCTATTCTTAGTATAACATTTAAATACCTTGTGTTTTGCTGTGCTTTTAACACATAGGAGAGGTATTTCCCGAGGACGAGGAAAGTGCTAGATTTGAAAGCCTGAAAGCTTTGTTGGCACAAGGCACGGTGACAAACCTGCTTGTATTGCCCAGTCCCCAACTCAGATTACTCGTATTGTGCATTTAAGAACTGATTTCCTTACGGCTTTTTATTTTGTAAACTTGTACACGTTGTGGGCATCGTGGTGCCCAGTGATGAGGGCAGCAGGACAGCTGGAGGTCATTCCCCACACCCCTGCTTACTTGCTGTACAACTTTTGGAGAGTCCTTTGGTCCCAGTGCACTCCAGGATAGCTGATCCTTCGAAGGAAGTTAAGGAAATCTGTTTGGGGAGGTGGGAACTTGATGCTTCTTGGCTAGTTACTCTGTATGAAAGATCTGATCAGTGTTGGTTGCAGATGTTGAAGCACTTCCAGTTCTGTGGATGAAAAGTGCTGCTTGCATGAAAAGTTACCCATTCTCTGTTTTAAACATCACCCCTTTGGAGGTGCCTGTTGTCAGGCTCACACAGGTACCCTCTGTCTCAGCCTGCTGAAAAGGACAGCACTGGATATACTGGATGAAGAGAGGTTGTGAGCTCGCAGCCTGACAGATGGAAGTCTGCCAACTTCTGGAAGTGCTGTCCTGCAATGGACACGGCGTTTCCTTTCGCTCCTGTCTCGCTGCCGTGGCCTCGCTTGCATCCTTTGCGATTCCCTTGCCTTGGCAACCCACAAAAACATTGCACACGTGCGTCTGGTTTGCGGGGTTGGTTGCTATAGATTTTCTTTTATATATTACTTTTTCACACTCTGCAAATCATAGAAAGCTGCTGCTGTGGGGTGGTTTGGTTATCTGGGTAAAGTGGTGGCAAGTTCCCCTCCTCTACTCCCTCTTGGTAACTTCTTACACGTAAGGGGAATAACCCTGATTTTCTGCATATATATGCATCCTTTGTTTTCCAAAGGGAGAAGGAAATACATGGTGACACAGATTCATCATGGATTTTTAAGCCAGTAGCTTGGGGCTCACAAATCCAGATTAACAAAATCCTCTCTAGCTTTGCTCCAGGAGCTTTCCTGCCTGAATCGTGCAGCTGGTTCTCCGAGCAAAAGGCAAGAAGAGAATTGAGTTGCTGCAGCTTGCTTGATCGGCAATCATATCTTTACATCTGTTAGAAATGCCATTTGCAAAGACCTCTGGAAGTAAGTAATGGTTACAAAGATGGTGATAAATTATTTTGCAGAGAGATTAACATCCCAAATTAAACATCTAAATTGGCATGCAAAGACAGGCGGTAAGTATCTCCCTGGTTTGGCAGTATGTGATGCTGAGGGGGGAAAAAAAAAGTCCTAAAATTCACTCTTCTGTCCTAGCCTGCACCTTGCTGATTTAGAAATGTCTTTCTAATCCCCACAGTTGATTGTGGAAGCTGGGGATTTCCTTCTAGCGGATTATTCACTGATTTCCCCCTTGGCTTTGTGGATTGCCAGTTTTTGCAGTGTATTCTCTGAAGCATATTTGCAGGCAGAGCGGCTGCTTTTTTCCAGAGCCATCTGCAGAGTTGACTTTTGCATTTTATTCAGTATTTATGTGCTATTGCTTTGAGGAATTTTGTTCCATCATGCTGTCTCCTGCTCTGCTTCAGTAAGATCTACCTTCGCTTTCACGTAGTGCAATTAAATAATTTTGTTTATCTAGTATCTTTCTCTGTTAGCTGCTTAGGCTCATTTTAAAAGTTGAAGTAATAGGAGCATTTTTTGTTGCATTTTTTTTCCTGCTTCATGCATTGCCAGTAAAAGATGAGATTTCACAACACATTAGAAAATTTAGCTACTGAATGAGAAGCTTAATTCAATGCTTGGAGCAGATGAGGGATGTCATGGCGGTATCCCGTGGCATTTTTAAAGATCATTACCTGTCATTTCTTTTGTAAACATAGCCCTTTGACAGGCGTCCAGCACAATCTGCTGGATTTGAAGGGCTTTCACCAGCTGGGCTTTTTGCTAAGCGCCCCAGAATGCAAGCTGGGAGGCGCGGTGGAGAGATAGCGCAGGTCTCAGTTTCCAGACTCACGCTTCCAGGTGTGTTTTGAGGGATTTCTCCCAGATCAGAGCAAAGGTGCCTGTGAGGTGTGAGAGTGCAGAGCTCTCCATGCATCTGCCGCCTCGGCTCAGCCCGCTGCTGCCCGCCCCAGCCCTGGTGCTGCTGCCCGCGGGGTTTCCCCGGCTGCGGTTCGCCTCCGGGAGCCCTCCGCTCCCGAGCCAGGGCTGCAGGGTCATCCCCACAGCAGCAGGGATGTCTGCAGCAGGCCATCGCGGCTCGTTTCACACGCTACACCAAAGGAGCTGTCGAGCACGTGTCATGCCGTCAGAGTCCAGCTGGGAAATCTGAAAGGGGAAAGACTGGTTAATGTTTAAAACCCTTTCATAGATAAGGTGCAGAGATTAACTAACCTTGAGGAGGTGTCTAATGCAGATTGCTAGGGGTTTAGGCCTTACTTGAAAAATTAAAACTATTTTAAAGCAGGCAGTAGACACCCGCATGGGTCTGGTATGACAGCGAGACAGTGTGGGGTGCCTGTTTAACAGAAGGGACAGGCTGTGCAAGCATCTTTGCTCAGCATTGCAAATACAGGAGCTGCCTGCTGAATCTGTGTTTCTGCAAACTTTAGCCTGAATGGCCGAAAGTATCTTAAAGCCAAGAGTAAACACATGGAAGAGGAGACACCTAGAACAGTGTTTAATAAGGAAAGAAAAAAACTCAGGCCGTGGCTTATATTTAGGTAATCAGATGAAAGGAAACACAGCAAAATTCCTAATTATGAAACCTATTGTATCATGCGAATATTTTCTTGCTGTCTGTGACAGAAATCCTATAGCTGGCGTTATCGAAAAATCAGCTTATTTCTGTGTGTGATTTCTCCGAGAATCAAAAGCTGCTTTTTTTCCTCTCAGCATGGAGCAGCTGCTATTCCTCCATTAACTTTCAATCAGAAACCAACCCCTTCCCTTTCTGGCATCTTAAGAGGTTGCTACGCTGATCTGTCAAGCTAACAATCTTTGCCGCAGAAAGCATGAACGGGAAAACCTCTGAGGGAATATGTGTGCAATTAATCATACTGCCTTGTCAGGTCACAGACCCACCGAATGAATCAACCCCAAAGTTTGATATTTGAGAGGCTGTGCAATTTTCTTTCTGGTTTGATATGCTAGCACGAATGCTGTCATTACTTGCACTGCGTTTAATTTGCAGCTCTTTGGTGGTCTAATGGTTTTAAGTAAGTCTCCTAAGCCAAGAAATCACTTTGCATGCATTGGGTACATGGCTGGAGATGCAATAAGAAGAAAAAGAATAGTCCATTAAATTATATAGCTGTAATTTGGATATAAAATTTTAATATAAAATATGTTGGTGTAGCTGTCCAATTACGTACACACCTACAATACACAAACAATTTCCAAACAGCACATACAGCAATCAGCCTGAGATAACTCTCCCAGAAATGCAGGAGAAGTTACTTAAATCACCTTTGATATTGCATTTGGAAAAAAAAAAAAAAAAAAAGCAATCTGCCTGTAATTTAAT